TGAATGAAAAAGACATTTATTCATCAATTATTATGTGCCCGACAAAATAGAAAGCTAACTTCTGCCCTTGGGATTGTTCAAGAACCACAGTGGACTACTTTATTGTTGAGTTCTCTTCCAACTCTGAGATTCTGTTATCCTATGATACACTTCTCAATATTGTCCTGACAAACCCCAATAAATTACAGAGTCTGTTCTAAGAAACAGACAAATGAAATTAGGGTGTGTGTGTCCCTGGTTTAATTTCTCTCAAGCTGGCTTAACATGCTTTGCATAGGAATTATAGTCTAGAACTAGGCCCCCTAATGGGGCCAGTCCAGAACTGGCTTAATTGGGATTTGAGGGTACAGGGTTATATGCCCTTTAAAGAGTAGGTGTTCCCAAGGGGTGACAATCAACTCTGATTGGTCAAAATACACTGATAGGTGAGCTATATTATAATGAGGTCTTATTATAATGAGTACTTGACTTAGGTCACTTAATTCTGACCTGTTCTATCAGACCCCCTCAGTCTTTGGGCTATCTAGGCAGAAGAATCTGTCTCCACCCAAACTTGAGTAGGGTAAAATCAATTCAGGCCTTGATTGGAGTTTGACCAGGATAAGAGGATTCAATGCAATCTCTTTATCAGTTATGTCCTTCTGAAGAACTCTGGACAGAAGGCTGCTCTGAAGGGAGCTCTCAGTCTCCAAGACACAGATTACCAAGAGAAATCACTCAGTAGATTTGGAAAATAATGAGCAAAGACACATATCTCTTCAGGGATAATATTTCACTTTAGTTATAATATTGGGACCCAGAAAGAAATTAATAGAATATAAGTCTGGACAGATAGGTTGGGGAAAAAATTATAAGAGGCCTTGCACATCATTCATGCTAAGAAGGTTGGATTTTTTGAGTTGAGGTGTGTGTGTGTGTGGGGTGAGGCAAGATACTGCAAATACTGAAGAAAATAGCACCTTAAAAAATAGCCTAACCCAAATGGCAAAAGAAGTTCAAAAAGTCAATGAGGAGCAGAATGCCTTAAAGAGCAGAATTGGCCAAATGGAAAAGGAAATCCAAAAGCTCACTGAAATGTAGAGGGAAAACTGTGAAAGCACCCTAATAGTCCTTTAGAAAGATTAGTTTCATAGTTGATAAAGCTGATAAATTATTTCCCACTGACACGTACATGAGAAAGAAAAGACAAATGTGCTACTGACGCATAGAGAGGTTACTGGATTTACACAAAGTCACAGGCTTGAACCCAGGTATATGGACATACCAACACCTAGACACTATTTAAGGCCAGCTTTTATTTCATTGCATGATTTTTCTGAAAGGAGAGAAAGTATTGCTAGGTAAACCCTCCACTTTGATAACCCATTGTGCTTTGAGGGATGGGAATGTAGAGAGTTTATTAAAGGTAGTGATGGAAAGAAGGAAATAATTCCTAACAAATCATTTCTTTCCATCACCCCAAGACCTAGCTTAGTGAGTGTAAGCTTTTTACAACCAGAAGCCAAACATCTAAAACATGTGCATGAGTAATCATAACAAGGAAACCTCCCCAAAGAACAAATGAGATCATTTTTTTTAACCTAACAAAGACACACTTGGTTCAGATGAATATCTCTATTAAATGACAGCTGCGTGATATATTATTCTCTCTCTCTCAAAGTGAGAGAAATAGTAGAACCAGATAGTGCTACAGGTAAATGTCACTTTTTAATGTCATATCTTCCCCTCCCCCCAAAAAAATTATTGAGTTTAAGGTTAGCAATGCTAGTTTCCTTGTTACCCCTCCCCTCTCCACCTTCTGTCTCTTTGCTTTGTAAGTTAACTGCTGAAATAGCACCTCTGACCTAGTTCCAGACAAATAAATAAAGTTTGTCTTCCTTGCAACTCTTCTTTGAAGTCAGAGAATTTGTTAGGAAAGAGAAAAGAATAAGAACTTTGGGCAGAGAAATAAAGCACGGACAAAGAAGTTTAGTAACAGAGAGGGTGGTGTTCTTAGAAAAAGAAAAAAAGTTCCTGGAGTCATTATATTTTTTTATCTTTCCTAGAGACTGCCTGTAATACATACATCTATATATACATACATTCTTATATATTCATAATGTATATGAATATACATATATATACACATTACACTAGATATCTACCTTTATCTCTAGCATTACTTATATAAATGTATGTACATTCATTTATATTCATCATATACACATATATAGTATGTATGTATGTGTGTTTACATCTACATCTACATTTACAAATATATACATATACGTACACACACATATGTGTATATTCACCATACCATCACCTGTATGCTAAGTGGCACAGTAGATAGACTGCCCTGCCTGGAGTCAGGAAGATTCACCTTCCTGAGTTCAAAACTAGCCTCAAACATTTACTAGCTAGGTGACCCTGGGTAAGTCACTTAACCCTGTTGGCCTCAGTTTCCTCATCTGTAAAATGAGCTGGGGAAGGAAGTGGCAAACCACTCTAGTATCTTTACCAAAAAAATCCCAAATGGAGACACAGAGTTGGACACAGCTAAAACATCTGAACAATAACAATAACTATGTATCTATTCATGTATGTGACTATATGAACACGTACATGTACGTATATGTGTATCTATAGGTACACTTCAGGAAGGATTCACAAATGTAATTGATTTTAGGGATTTTTTTTCTTCTACTAAGTACATCAAGCTCTCTATTACTAAACTTCTGGGTCTATGAAAACACAGATAAATAAAAATGTTTCTTTTTCCATGGAGAAAGCAAAGCAAAAAAAAACAGTTTTACACATATACATATATGATTCTCTGTCTGTCTGTCTATATATATATATATATATACATTTATATACATGCATACATGTTGATGTATACTTTTATATACAAAGACATATATATTATATATATACAATCATGAATCAGATAAATATATGTATATTTGTATATATACATATATGTGAAGGTATGTACGTATAATATATATATTTTTTTCAAGACCTTTTTCTGCCTTTTTTTTCCACATGGAAAGGAAGTTCTCATTGTGTATACAATAACTAATTAAGAAAACTTCTGTACACCCAATACACAAGGCAACACTTGAAGATAGAAAGCTTTTTTTCTTATTCATATAAATCTCAGTGAATCAGTAAGAATCTACAGTCGATCCACTTAGTGGATCCATAGTAATCAGTTGAAACACAGAAGATTATTGCAGTTTTTACAATAGTATGGCAATTGCGTGTTTATTAATTTGAATTAAAATCAACAAACATTGATTAAACATATGTTAGATAAATGCAATATGTTATATGTGGGCAGTAGGGACACTCCAATACTTCAACAATCCCACTAGACCTACCATTTCATCAAAGTAGTAGTGATACAGATAGCAACTCATCCATACCTTCACATCATACACAGCTCCTATCTATACTCCCCCACAGTTTTACTGTAGGAGATCTGCATAATGTATTGGAGTTCAGAGATTAAATAAAATGCATTGCATGCCCTAAGGAAGCTTTCCTCAAGGTGATATAACTTTCATATGGAGATTTGCTATGACCATCCCCTGAATCCCTGGGCAACAGGAAGTTTAAGGAAAAATAAATGTATTATATAAGTCATGGCACATGCATGTTTTTCTCTAAATTTCTAGAATCCATTGCTACTTGAAACTCAGTGTGGAAAATCAGGTAATCTTTTCTGGTGATGTTTGTTTCTTTTAGGATTATTTCATTGCATAAAAGAAAAAACAAAACACTGCGATTTCATTAATTCAGTGGTGCAGAGAATTCCTGGTGAGGAAACTTTCTCCACCAGTAGAGATCTGTAACTACTCTGCCACATGTAGTCTTAGAACAATGGTTCCTATTTGGAGGTTCCCAAACTCCTTGAGGTTCACAACCAAGATCAGTGTGATTTAAGACAAAAGCTTTTTAATGCATCTGATGTCAAAATACATGGGCTCAGATAGGGAAACTCCCTTAGTACCATAAAATGATAATGCTGAAAGTGACCTTAGAGCATAGAATTTTGTGTTTCTTCTTTCACAACATGACTAATTTGGAAATATGCTTTACGTGATTGCACATATATAACCTATATAAAATTGCTTACTTTCTTAGGGAGGGAGGAGGGGAGAGAGGAAGGTAGAAATTTAGGACTCAAAATTTTATATAAAAAATGAATGTTAAATAATAAAATACTATTTAAAGGAAAAAAAAACCTTAATGATGCCTTAATATGTAAATAATTGTCTAATAATACTACAAAAATATTTTTCATCTGTGACAAAAAGCATGTATATATTTCAGTCATCATAGATTTGTTTCTATAGCTGTTCAAAATCATCATGTACAAAATGATTTTGATAATTGATATCTATGCATCATTTCCATAAAATGCTATTTCTCATTGAGAACAGTGCATTCAAGCAATTTCTCAATCTATCTTTTCTTTGCAGTTTTTTTTTCTTTTTAGGCAATTGGGGTTAAGTGACTTGCCCAGGGCCACACAGCTAGTAAGTATCAAGTATTTGGTCTGAGGCCAGATTTGAACTCAGGTCTTCCTGATGTCAGGGCTGGTGCTCTATCCACTGTACCACCTAGATGCCCTCTCTCAATCTATCTTAAAAGTATTTGCAAACCACAAGAGTACAACCTTTGAGGTCAAACTGATTCCCAACGTATGATGAAAACGCTGCAGATTTCTTGATCTGTGTTGTGTATACCGCACCAGAGTAGCTCCCTATTTCCCCTCCATTATTCTGTAATCATGCCTCATCAGCTGTGTGATCATGTGACCAAGATGTCACAAACCTTTTTGTTCTTATGGTGCAAATGTCAGGCTGTCTGAAACCCAGGATCACTGGGTATGGGATCTCGTTTAGCACAAACGGTAAAAAATATTCTGCAGAAACAAAGTTAAGATTGCTTTTCATTGCGATATGGGAATTCTTTTCAAATTTAAAATCATCTTCCACTTATGTCACTCATCTTCTTCTGCCTGGTAGATGATCAAATGAATTTGTTTACAACCCTAAGTTAGACATTCAATAGAGGTGTTGTGAGAGCTTAACTGCTGTGCTAAAGGTAAAATAGATTTCTGAAGAGATCCTTTCATTACAAAGATTAGTTTATTCATAAACATTGTTTAAAAAATGAATCACCATAGATAATTGAACTTTAAGTATATTTATCATTTAATGTAGTGTTTGTCATTAGCTGGGAGAAAAGTGAGTGTTCTGTATCATAAGATATTCATTTTCATATTCATTCATTCATTCTATCACATAGAAAGAAATCTTTTTTTTTTGAGGTGGGGAACAAGGTGACAAGGTTAAGTGACTTGCCCAGGGTTATACAACTAGTAAATGTCAAGTGCCTGAGGCCAGATTTGAACTCAGATCCTCCTGACGCCAGGGCTGATGTTCTATCCATTGCACCACCTAGCTGCCCCTCACAGCAAGAAATCTTATAAAATTATCCTATCATATATCACCATATTGGGTTTTTTTTTGTGAGTGAGCATTTTTACTTTATTCTATTTTTACATCCAAAATACAAAAATAAACTTAATCAAAAATACAGAAGATAAAACTTTGAAAATACAGACCAGATTTAAGAGTGTGTTTGTCTGGTGTTGAGCCAAGTACTGAAAAATTTTGCCAAATAAAAAAGTCCAACACCAAAACTTATGTTTACATATTATTATATTAAGTTAAATATCTTCAAAGTTTTAACTTAGTTCATTAAAATGTAATTTACATTTAATAAAATTTATATAATAAGATAATATGAAGGCTTGCTGATAATAGTAAGCATAGGATTCTTTCAGGATTCTTTCCTTTAATTTTAATAGACTATGATACATTAAATATTCTTAAGTATTTTATAATTCATTTTATAATTTTATATTTAGAATTTTTAATAATAGGTAGAATAAAATTTATATTTTATAATCATGAAGATTACATAACTCTTAATTTGGAGCTTTTGGGGGCAAAAGTTATCATTGCAGTTATTTCAAGTACTTAATGAATAAATATAAAAGAATATTTTGAGTAAGATATTAAATTACCTGGGGGGGCACAATATATTTTTTTTTGTGGGAGGAGTTCATGGAACCAAACATGTTGAAAATCATGTCTCAGAAATTTGCCTGGTGATGCTGAAATATTTTGTGATTTGTCCAGTTCATAGTCATGAAAAATCTTAGGCGGGAATTATCTTATGTCTTCTCTGGGGATGGGTCTCTTTCCATTGTTCTATCCTGCCATTTAAATAATAATGATTATAGCCCCCATTCAGTGCACTCTTTCTGCCAACACACTAGGTAACTAATACAAAATAGCAAGAGAAATACCAAGGGAGAAATGAAGCAATAGAATAATTATAGACCTCCTCACAAAATAAAATAAAAAGGAATACATCCTTGTACAGGTTCTCATACTAGTGAAGATGGGGACTAAGATTACACACTGCGGGGCTGGGGAAGAGCTATGTCATGACTGTATCACCTTATCTAGTTCTTTCTCCTAGCAACTGACTATTTGGTTCCTGGCTTATTCCTGATTCACCTTTGCCAGCTTACATTGCCCTATCTTTCCACTCTGTCTCTGTTAGTACTCTAAATCTACTTCCACAGATGCCACATTTTACTCTGGCTTCCAGCTGGAACTGAGAGGATTAGCAATAATTGTAAACTAGGGATAGGGAGTGTCTTCTTGTGATAATGCCCCACCTTCGTACCCTTAAGGGAATTTTCAACAAACTTTCAGTTGTGTCTCAAGCCTTGGTCATATCCACATGACCCATACTTGGGTTATACCAGGATGGACTTTTTTGTAGTTGTCTCGACCAGGGATTTTTAAACTTTTTCCACTTGAGACCCCTTCAGCGTTTCTGAAACTGTGGGTCATGACCCCATGGGTTTGTGACCCACAGTTCAGAAGTGCTGGTCTAAATAGTATCTACTGATCAAAAGTTTTCATAGTCCTCACTCCTAAGTCAGGGTGAAGAAATTTCTTTGATCTTATACTTTGTCTGTCTCAACCTCTATTCCACAGCATTGGCTGTGTGCCAACAACAGGGTCTGTTTTCTGGGCTTAGAAATAAAAACATGCTGTTTTTCATTTGTCCTTTCAACTCCATTCATGCCCTGGAAATTATCATTCAAGTTAAATTGCCTTGAAATCTAGATAAACCTCGAATACATGCTTAATATAATTAGAGAGGGAGGAACAGAGCTCACATTTGCCCTCTGTTCCTGCCATCCTTGCAGAAATTCTTGGTCCACTGTACACATAAAATATGTACATATATGTCCAGTCATTTTTAAGGAAATAGATTTCAATTATCAATACCTCAAAAGGAAGACTAACAAATTAGATAGAATCTTGTTTTGATTTAAAACCTTCTGGGGAACCTTAGCAACAAGAATTTAAGAACATTTCCTTATAAATGATTTTTTAAAAATTACTGTTTTTACTGTTCACGGTATAGTAAATTGAAAACTGTTATAAAAATACCATTAAAAATGGAAAATAGATATTGGTATATCTTATTTAGAAAATGCTCATATACTTAAGGTAAAATATTTTAAATAAGCAATTAATACTGATTAGTTTTTACTTTTTATATTTTATATACAACGACATATAAAGTTATCAATAAAAATATGGATTCTGGTTGCATATGTATATATGTGCTTATATACCTATATAGAGACACATAAATATGTGTTTTATTATGTATATATTTGTGTATGTGTGTGCCTATATCTACATCTACATATATTCATATATATGAATTGTAAATCAAATGAAGCCGTAATAAACATAAAATTGAGAAAGGGAATTTGAGAATAACTGATAAGCTTTAAATGAAATTTTAAAATTCTGACAAAATATGCTTTTCCCAAAATAATAAGATAAAATGGTCCCAATATTAATTGTAACACAGTTGAGGGAAAGGAAAATGAAATGAGAGAGGAGAGGACAATTTCATTGGGTTATAAGAGATTTAGTATTTAAAATCATGACTGTTTTCAACCAATTTTTTTCAACAAATAGTAAATGAACCAAAATCATGATTTAGATGTACATAAACCTGTGATTTCAGTTATGAGTATTCTCTTAGTTAGATCAGGTCACAACTCAACATTTTCATCCTGAGCAATCTTTGTTCACATTTTCCTAGAGATACCCTACAGAGGATCTATGAAATATAATGAAGGCTTACCTTTAATTATGTCTTGTTAGTATTAATGTAGTATTTAGTCTAATTCATATGCATGCACAGAGTATATGTTGCTGCACACTTGTAGGAAGTTCCATTGGCTCTAATGTCTTCCCTTCATTTTATTCTTCATTATCTCACTTGTTATGTTATTATAACAAATACTGAGGCAATTTCTGGGTCATGTGACCAAAAATAGAAAATTAAATATTTTTCCAGTTCCAATTTATAAAAAGATTCTAGAAATAGAGAAATTGTAGCTGAATTCATAGGAGAAAGCAAGAAGACCATCAAAAGGACAGATTTATAAATAAATAGTAGAGAATCCATTCCCCCATCCTTTATAGAGATGCAACACTCACCCACTAATTTGTGATTTGAGACCCACCCAGGGGTTTCCTTTCTGCAGTAAGTCTCTTTTCTTCTTCTCATACATCTCACCCCCTGCCCTTCGCCTTCCCTTATCTTCTTGCAATATGCAATCAAAGTTTATTCTATCCAATCAAAGAGGAAAGGAGTGATTACAAGGGGAAGGAGGCAGAATCATACTTCTTTCTGCCTGGGACATTCTCTGTGTTAGAAAACCCCAAAACTCCACATATTCTAGCCAAAATAGCTACCCCATTCTTTCCCATACCTGCCAAACGTGACAGACACTGATACAGCCCAGCTGGAGAATTAAAGAACAGAGGCAACTGTGGCAGGGACTAGTATGGCTGCACTAGGCCTGAAGGAAAGGAGATGAGCATTCAGCTGGGTAAAGTCCTATGCCCCAAGAAATTCTTGGAGCTGAGACCAAGACCAAGAATAGTAAATTCCTGAAAATGAAGGAGGCTGAGACAGTTTTGTCAGAGGAGTCAGAAAGTGAGTTACAGAGAAATTGGGGGGGGGAGTGGAAAGCAACAAAGACATTTAGAGGAAGCAAACTGAATACAATTCATATTGAGACTATTATTTGATTATTTTGCTAAAAAGGCATTATTTTGATATGACATTTTATTTCATTTAATACTTGTCAGCACTTTGAATGTACCTTTAATTTGATTTTTAGATTTTTTAAATTATTTCATCCGATTCATAATTCGTATAATTTTATATTTTTGAAATCTAGATTTTATTTACAACTTTATAAGTCATTTTTATATTCTAATTGCAGAAAACCAAAAACCTTAGAATTAATGCTTATTTTTAAATATTGAGTTTTAAGATGTAAATTAAAATTTTAAAAGAAATTATAAAAAAAATTAGATCAAAAGTCTATTTCTACTTTTGAAATTAGATATTACATTTTCAAAAATTGGTTTTATGTATGAAGAGTCAATGGGAACTCTCCCCAGACTGTATACATGCCAGTGACCTGTCTGCTGTCTCTCTTTCTTTCCAAATGATCCACCTCTTTCTTTTCCTGATCATATGTTTCCCCAATGATATATCCCTTATACTATTCTGGCCATGTAGGTTATCACTGAAAATTTAATGTAGTTTAAATGTTTCAAACTTGATTTTCTCTATGCACTTCAGATGACCTATAGCTTTATTTCTGAGTGTTCTGAAGTTGGTTTAGGTGTATTTTTTGAGGTGTTCTGAAGTTGTAGACATACAACATTTTTGGTGGTATTTGACAAGACTTGCAAAGAAAGAAGACACAGTAAAAAGCCCAGTTCTCTCCTACAACTATGCCAACAATGGTAAAAGAAGTGATCTGGAAATTCAAGTAAAAACACAGTGGATCATTTCTTCTTTCTCAGATCTGTACAAGAAGATAGCCAGATACCTATGGGCACTGAGAAGGGAGTCTAGCCTGAAATGTAGGTATATCTTCCATTATTCATCTGGCGCTTGTGGCCCTATAC